TCTCACACACATCAAATTTACCAAAAGAAATAACATAATAAACGGAACCCCAGAAATACATATTGGATTAATCAATGAAAAAAATAGGTGTGGATGATTAATACTTTTTGATGTGGAGTTAGACAATGACCAAGTGAAGATTTTTGAGAGTCCGTGGTGTTAAGGTTTTCGAAGCAGAGGATAAGAATTAAGAGGCCGTGGGAGATGGAGGCTGCGTGGGATGGCGATGAAAATTAATTGCGACGGCGGAGATAGTGGCCGGAGATGATGGCCGGAGGAGGAGGGGGGAAGCTGGACAGGGAGGGGTGATGAGATGTTGCCAAAAGAAAATAATAAATGTTATGGGAATGGATTGAAGTCTTTCTCTATTTCTCCAAAATTGGATAATTTATTAAATGGATTTTCTAAAATGGTTAGTAAACAACTTTTTATTTATCTAATTTTTCATTCATTTCTACTGTTACTAAACATAAGTTGTTATAGCCAAAAGTTTTTTGTGGTCGAGCAGCATAATTGAGACTTTTTCACCTGGGTGTTTCGATAGGTTAGTATGGACAGATACTATATAGAGTGGGTAGTACTAAAAAAAAAACATCAGTCGTTGTACAATGGATTATGATCTAAACAGCATTGTGTGGACCATAGTCGTAAAATGAAACTGTAATACAATTAAAATTAAAATGATATTTTAATGTTGTTATACTGAAACTAGTGTGTGAAAAATGAAACTAAAAAATATAGCACATGCAATAATGTATATTTTCAAATAATTTTTTTTTTTTTTTTTGTGTTCCCAGTTAAGCTAGTGTAGGTAGAAAATGAAACTAAAAAAAAAATAGAGCCCAATAATGAAATTGAAAAGCACACACAAAGAGTCAATATCACTCCCATTAAGGCTTGAACTCATGAGTCATGACCTCTTATTTGAAAAAGTCATTTCATATCACTTGATCATTTAATTTTTTTATTTTTATTTTCAGTGAACCACATATTTATTTTAAATCTACATATACATTTCACAATTAAATACAAATGAAAGGCAATTGAAAGCTTTTGGGGATTTAGGTGCTATTAATAGAAATGTCATCAAGGTTAAAATAAAACTTTCAGGATATTATTTGTGTTGCATGCTTGTATGCTAGATTTAGGCATGAGAAAAATGTGAAATTATGAAAGGAATATATAACATTGTGGACTTGTGGTCCTATTCTCCTAGATTATTTTTTTTTTATGTATATTTTTTAACATACAAATTACAAAGGAAACAATAATATGATTATATAAATTTAAGACAAGCAATTCACATAGTATTAGTCACAATAGCTTAATTAATTTGGGATTCATTAAAGACCGATAAACCAAGTGAGAAGCACCAAATTTAGAAGTTGTACATCCAATTATTATTATTATTATTATTATTATTATTATTATTATTATTATTATTATTATTATTATTATTATTATTATTATTATTATTATTATTATTTTGTGTGAATATGTTTAATTGAGCAATCATGTTCTGTATTTAACAAATTTCTAATAGTCATTGCCAAGTGAAAGAATGTGACTTGTACACTCTTCTCATCTCATATCTTCTAATGTATTTTAATCTTGGATTTGTATTAATAATAAAGAAAAAACTATAAATAATGTTAGAAGGAAAATGTTATTTCTCATACTAAAATGACTACCTTACAATCTATGATCTTTTTAATGTCACACTGTCAATTATCATGTCATTCATATAAAGTTTAAAATATATATTTAAAAATATATATATTATACAGAAGCGATGTTTACATAGTGTTTACCCTTAGATATGAACTACTTCTCTATCACTAGAAAAAAAATGTTTGTATTTATTGATTATTAATAAATTAACTTACCTGACCATGTATGTGGGTTAATCAAGATAAAGAGAGAATCCAATCAATCCACGTATTAATGTCACATATTAAAGAGTGATTTTTGTAAGGTAGTGTATCATAATTCATTAGAAAAGAGCAACGTAATGAAGTTATTTTACACTATATTTAATAGTTAATACCATGTGACAAGATTTTATTTAAATTAAATACGGAGTAATTTGTAAATTAAAGAGCATATATACCAAATTATGATTAATAATAAAAAGTTAAAAAAGTAATAAAAAAAAAGTCATCAAACTAATAGCAATAGTGCAATTAGACTTTTGAATTAAATAAATAAATAAATAAAATCAATTAGACGACACTTAAACTTGTAAAAGAAAGTATAATTTGACTTTTAAACTTGTAAAAAGAATAGAATTAGAACTTTTAATAGGTTACTATAATGTAACATGCTGACTTGACATGTCATGTGACTTTTTTAGATGATTTATCGTTAAGATGAATAAAAAGCTTGGTTGCCATAATTGGCGACCTCACTCTTCAACTGATTTCCACTTTCCACATAAATTTGTCCAAATCTTGGCAAAGACATGTTCTTTGCTTAGATCTAAGTTGCCTTCATTTGGGTTAGACAAAAAAGACTTCATCTTCGATGATGAAGACAAAAAGCCTCATCTCTAACTGTGATGGAAGTCAAGTTTTTAATTTTTAATTTCAAAATTTTTTAAATATCAAAAATTCAATTATTATATTATGATTATTATTATTATTATTATTGTTGTTGTTGTTGTTGCAACTCATAAATTCTAATAATACACCTAGAGCTAAATTACTTTTAAAAAAAATCACATGGCACGTCTAATTAACAAGTTAAAGGATGATAACTTACTAAAAGTTCTAATTGTACTTTTTTACAAGTTCAATAGTGCTAATTGAAACTTTTTTATTATTATTATTAGTTCAGGTGCTTAATCAATTGCAATATTGTTATTAGTTTAAGAGTTTATTTGACAATTTTTCTTAATTAATCAATATAAAGAGGAAAAAATACATATTACAAGCAACATTAAATGATATTAAATTTGATATATATAATATTTTAAAAGGATTAATGAAGGAGTTTTTTTAGGACTACTGACTCTATTACATTATAATATTGTAGTATCTGTTCATTTATACTTTCTTAATATGTTGAAGGTTGCTCAATCTCATGACCTCCTATATAAAAAAAGTCAATACATATACGTGTCATCTGAATATAAGATGTTTGGCGATTAATAAAGAAGTTTAAGATAAGTTGGTACATATATAGATGGATCAAATTATTCCTATTTTTTATATGCGAGCATATTCTCGTTTCAATCCTTCCATATCTATTGTAATTTATTGTAAAGATCATTTTTAACAATTTAATATTTTACACCAAACACTTCATTGATGTAGGATTGACAAGTGTACGTGTGAGTTACTTGCACGATTTAAATTCAGTATTTTAATATAAGATCATGGGTTTCTTTTCTTTTTTTTTTTTTCTTTTTACTTTTTTTTTTAATAAATACCATATTTTAGTTTAGTCTACTTAACTTTTTCTCTCTGCCACTTTATATATTGTAAGAAAAGTGTAAGTGGAGCAACACCAACAAAGTTGGTCAAGTTAATGATCTATTATAAATAACTTAGACTAATTTTTTTTTACGATCATAAGGTGTGGTTTACTAAGTGCACACTCTCGGATAGTGGCTGCGGGTTTCTCCCTTGTCACTCAAAAAAAAATTCAATTTTTGTCAACATCCTCTTAGTCAAGCATGTCACACCGAGTTTTGCAAGCTATTACACAAGACACTACAAGAATGAAGACATTTAGTGACAAATCTTTTGTGACACTTCGTAATTTAGTCACAAATAATACCTTTTTTGTGACCAAAAAAAAATAATTCGACACTTTTGTGTGGGATAATTGTGACAATTATTTTTTTTGGTCACGGATAATATAGTAATTGTGACAAAAAATATTTGTTATGAATAAGTTGTCACTATTACTAGAATAATAGTGTCTCGTAACATATGTTGTCACTATTTGTGTCACTACTAAATGTATGTGCATTTTGACGGCATTATAAATATATATGGCGGGAATGAATGTAATTGTGACAAAATATATATGTGGACACAAATTTTTGTACTTTTTGTAACAAATAGTTGTTGGTCACTCTTGTTTATATTATTTGTGACAACATTTTCTTTTCAATAAAAATACATTTGGTTAGTAACATTAGAAATGAGAAACAATTGTGAGTATTGTCACTTTTTGTGATAAAATTGTTAAAATAAATTCAAAAATTATTATGGGCTCTTGATATCATGTGAAATTAAGTAGAATGAATTGCATTAATAAAAAGTTATACACAAGGTATAAATAGAACTATACAGAGAAAATTACAATAAAACATAACTGAAAGACTAAAAAAAAAGTAAATAACAAAACTAACTAAAGACTAGCTCAACTACTCAAGTTATGTGTTTACTCGCTTATGAGAACAATTAATGACTTCATCAAATTAATTTCTAAAAGCTGGTAAACATGTGTTTTTAAATATAATGTTCCAAAGAAGATAATGCAAAAAAAAAAAAAAAAAAAAAAAAAAAAAAAAGTAAACTAGGCATTTAAATGTACTGTGCTCAACCACATAGGCCATAGGCCATTTATTTATTTATTATTTTATATCATTAATGACAACCAACATAATAACTCTTTATATTAAATAGTAAAAATTTTGTGTCAATAACAAGTACTATGCAAAAATAATACCCATAAATACATACATAACCCGTATTTAAAAATTTTAAAACGCATTTGCAAATGGCATGGTGTGGAAGTATTATAATTATAATTATAATTATTATTACTATTATTACTACTATTATTATTATTATTATTATTATTACTATTATTATTATTGACCACACAATTACAAGTTAAAGAACTATTCTTCGTTACCTACACTTAAGCATTTCATTTCCATTAGTTTCTAATTTCTATGGTTACAAATTTTCACCACAGAAAGATGTAAATTTTCTTTCTCTTCGATCTTTTCTATTTAAACTCCACATTTCTAAGCATGCAAAATCACCTATTCTCCACACATTATTATCTTATTCCGGCCACACTTAAACAACCCATATCTCTATCTAATAACATGGCCGCCACCGCCGTCCCTCCATCTATCCTCCTCATCCTGGTTGTGGCATTCACCACCGCCACTACAGCGGTTGCCCACCGTCCACCTCCCTCCGACCACAAAACCCTACTCCTCAATAAATGCACCAAAGCCCTTGGTCGAGATGACTCAAACTTGGTCATATTTTGCGCTCGTGATTTACTCGGCCACAGAGCTGCCTTTCTCGCTACTTGTGATAGGAGAAAGACCGTGGCTGTCGTCTTAAAGGAAGCCCACAACAAAGTCAGAGCTTTCGAGGCTTTGGAGAAAAAGATAAATAGCGAAAAGTCTTTGAGTGCAAAAGAGGTCCAAGATTTTAAGAGGTGCTGGGGATTTATAAACAAGGTGGTTAGTTCAACTGAGGAAACATTTAGCAATGCTTTAGTAAAGGAGCCTTCCAGCGATTCCATTGTGGATTTGAATGGGGTGGATGGAAAAGCGGCAATGAAGGAGCATTGCAATTTCTCTATCGCCGGAAGACAAAGTGGTGTGTGGTTAGAGTTGCAAATGAAGGCAGTGGAATCTTTAAGGGCGGATATGGTGGCGATTGCGTTTGTAGATCAACTCTATGGTATTGCCCATTAATTTTATAGGGTGTGTTTTGTGGTGAAAAGAGTAATTATAATGGGTAGTGAGAGGAAGATTATTCCCTTCATTTCCTAAATGTTGGCTAGGTTGATTATTACCACTATTGTATAATTATTACTCTTAATTTATTGTGGAGAATGGAGATAAAACTATTTTATTTCTTAAAATTTCGTTCATAAACATTGTTAAATAAATATAATATTTTCTACCGGCTACCTATATATAACATTGTGTACCACAATATATAGTTGATGTATAACCATTTAAAGCATTGATCTATCACTCTTTCAGTGGTATGCAACTTGATGTATCACAAAATTAATGTGTCAAGACAAGTCTAATAATAATAATAATAACAAGTTGCTGTAACACTATTTGAACACTTCGATTTGTCACTTTTCAAATATATACCCAATTGTTTGTTCTCTAATATATGCATTTGGATGCAATTTTAGAAGTATTGTTTTAATGTTATGATGTTACTAAATGATATAATTTTATTAAAATATAAATATAACTATACAATGTAATATTTAAATTTTTATAAATATAATTATACAATGTAATATATTTATTTTTTTTTGAAATTTAACTATTCATTTAAAAAAGTTTAACTAGGTAAGAACTATGTTGATTTTATATAGAGATTTATTGTATTTTACATATTGTAAAGTCCAATTATATTTGAGGTGTGGCTCAATTAACATTAAATACAAATCATTTTAGACTAGAATCTAGCATGCAATTAAGGTGGATCATGGTCAATGATATAATTTGCCCGCATATATTAACTTTGACAATCTAGCCATTGACGAAATAATAATTTACTTCTAATTCTCAAAATTTCCAAAGATGATACAGAATTGGTAACAAAGGGTTAAATCTAAAACGATTATATTATAAAAGTCATTAATAATGTGGTTAAAGTATTAGTTGAATACTAAATTTGAAAATAATAATATATTGAAAGACCAAATTAGAAATTAACTTTAATAACAAAAAAAATTAACTCTTACTTAAGAGGAGCAAATTACATTTTTTTTATCATCAATTATTGTAGCATTGTTACATTTACAGCACGTTTGGTTCACGGAATGAATTTGGAGGGAATAGGAATGTTATTCCACATGGAATGGAATAGGTAAGGAATAGAATATGAATTGTATTCTGTTGTTTGGTTGGCTGAAGGAATAGACTTTAGTAATTGTATTCCAGTGTTTGGTTGGTTAAAGGAATGGAAATGGAATAGGTTTTAAAGACATAAATACCCTTATACATAATAATAATAATAATAATAATAATAATAATAATAATAATAATAATAATTAATATGATTATGATATATTGAATGTTATATATATATATATATATATATATATATATATATATATTTATATATTTATATATTTATATATTTATATTTATATTTGTATTTATATACATGTATATGCATGTGTGTGTGTGAGAGAGAGAGAATAACAATAACAGTAACAATAACAATAACAATAATAATAATAATAATAATAATAATAATAATAATAATAATAATAATAATAATTATTATTATTATTATTATTATTATTATTATTATTATTATTATTATTATTATTATTATTATTATACAAATACATATTTATTTTTATATTTATGTTCTCACTTATCCCACATCGGTTGGAGAAGTAAGGAATGGAGCCTTGAGGCAAGCTTGCAATGCCCATCCGCTAGGCATGCAGATGAGCAGACTACTTAATTTAGGAGCCAAAGGCTCCATAATTAAGGAGTCTTATACAATTACTTTTATATATATATATATATATATATATATATATATATATATATATATATATATATTGATAGATTGATGGATACAAATTATAATTAATTAAATATATACATTTATATAATATACTATATTTATTAAATAAATATAAATATTATATAATGTGCAAAAGGGTATTTTTGGTATTTGTGATATAAAAGTTATTCCCAAGGGCATGGGAATAGCTAATACCAAGGCCCCCCCTAGAAATGGCTATTCCCCTTGCGAAGGTAATAGCTCATTCCTAGGCATGCTATTCCCATGACAAAATGATCCAACCAAACGGTGGAATAGGTCTATTCCAAGAAATGTTATTCCATTCCTGACCTATTCCATGAACCAAACATGCCATTAGTCCTTCTATTTTAATTTTGTTAAATTATATCATTAACTTTTATTTAAAAGTTCTGTCATTCCAATTAATATTTAATAAAAGATTTAATAATTTAAGCCTCTTGCGGCTCTAATATGTAATTTGTCTTCCTCTCTTTTAAAATTTTTTATAATTAAATAATTAAAATACATGTTACGCATCTTTTATTAAACAATGACAAAATTTTAGAATGAAGACTAATTGTAATAAGCAAATAAAAGTTAAATATATAATATAAAAAAAAATTAAATGTGATAATAGGGTGTTCGGTAAATAGCTGTCAGCTAATTGAGTGAATGGGTTTGAATAGTTGATAGCATTAACTGATTATAGAAAGATGTTTAGCAAATTAGTTGTTAGCTGATAACTAATTACATACAAAATAATTTTCTCAAAAAACTGATCGAAAAGCTGATTTGAACAGCTTTTTTGAATTTTCGTGTTTTGGAGCAATAAGCTGCTACAAAAAAGATCAAACACTCATATTAACTGTTTAACAATGTCAACCCGTTAATAGTAGTCAAACAAGTCAAAATTGATTGATAGACTAACTATTTTACTAAACATAGTTAATGTTATGTAAAGGTGTTCCTATAACAAGTACGAGACAATACAATATTCCAAAGACCAAACATTTTTATTTAAATAATGTTGAAACAGTCATAGATCAGAATGATACATACACATTGAGCACTTAATTATGATGACCTATCTAATCTATGTGGATGTAATAATATTGATGGCCAGCTACATATAGTTTGTATGTTTCTCTATTATTATGGGTTTTGAATATCATCATTCATCATGTTAGCTGGGGTTTAACTATGCAAACTTTCATGATAAGTGTAGGACTTGCCAACATGGGGTCATTTGGTTCCAAAAATTGGGACAAAGGGATATTGTTAATTTGAATTGAAGGATCATAAAAATATATATGATTTTCTTTACTAATAAATTATATAAGAGCCAATATTATTAATTAAGGTTCTAATAGGCATATAAAATAATATGTTAATTAATTAGTATAACCATGTACATTAATAAATTATACATTTTGATTTCTTTATTATATTGTACAATGATAAATTGTTTACTAACATACCTTTCTTTATCATTTTCTCTTTATGTACAAAATTTAGTAACAAAATACTCTTTAATTTCATTTATTATTATAATATTATTTTTAACTTGACTTACGAAAATGTATTTTCGAACATTTTAATAATAATAATAATAATAATAATAATAATAATAATAATAATAATAATAATAATAATAATAATGGACATTTGTTTTAATAAAAAAATATTATTATTATTATTATACCAATCAAATTAGTGTACACAAAATATATATATAACTCATGACATTTCTTTTTATTTTATTTTTAACTTTTTTATATTTATTTTGGAACTCTTTTCTCCATGAATTAAAATATAATAATATTTTCTTAATTTGAAAAATGTGAAAGATATTATTTTTTAAATGTTACTATTGAAAAATCGATGTCATATTATAATTAATTGGGATAATGGTCAAATAAGTCATTCAACTTTTATGAAAAGTGCAATTACGCCATAAAATTCTAAAAAGTTCCAATTAAGCCATTAAACTTGAAAAAAATGATGAAATTAGACCCTTTTTACCTCATATAGCTGGTTAACAATAGGTTATAACTTATTTAGGGGTGACCGTGGTTCTAGTTCTGAACCAACAGTTCTCGATTTCAGAAAATGTCGAACCGACAATTCTGGTTTGCGAGTTTTTCTTTTTTTTTTTTTTTTTGTAAATTCTATTTTCTATTTTTAAAATAGTCCAAATTTAACAACTATTTTTTTTAAAGAATTTTTTCATTCTAGAATTTAAAAAAAAAAAAAATTGTTATATAAAATATTTAAATGTTAAAGTTAAACTAACAAATAAATAAAATTTTGGGCTTACACTTAATTTTACCAAGATACGTAGGTAACTTAATCTTGGTAAAATTAAATGCAAGGCAAAAATCATTTTTATTTTTTAATTTAACTTTAAAGTTTAAATATATGATGTAACTATTTTTTTTAATTCCAGAATGAAAAAATTCTTTTAAAAAGTTAATTTTTGAATTTGGACTATTTTAAGATTAGAAAATAGAATTTACCTCAACCCTCCCCCCCCCCCTCCCCCCAAAAAAAAAGTCCAAACTGGCAGTTCAAACTGAAATTGTCAGTTCGCCATTTTCTAAAAATCGGAACCGTCAGTTAGGAACCGGAACTGTGGTCACCCTAAGTCAGCTATAAGCCTATAACATGTTGTTAACCTACTATAGGAGGTAAAAATGATTTAATTGCATCATTCTTTCATGTTCAATGACTTATTTGGAGCTTTTTAGAGTTTGATGGTTTAATTGCACTTTTTATAAAAGTTGAATGGCTTATTTGACCTTCATCCCTAATTAATTTTAATTTTAATTTCTTTGCTTAAATCGAACATTTTTCTTTATACCACGGATTTTGATTTTCTATTCCAAAATTATATTGCTTCAATTAGAATATACATTTTATTTTAAGTTGATCTACTATGTCTTGGACAAAATATCTCTCCACTTTAGGAATTTAAATGCAAAAATTTATTATATAATTAATTTTATAGGGAAAAAATTATTATTTAAAAATATCAAAGAAAGTTTGCAAAACAAAGAGTTCATATATAATTGCAATTGAGGTTTCAAACATATATACAAAGAAAACCTATGAATATAATCCATACAATGTAATAGAGTCGGTAGCATTAAAAAAAATAATAATAATTCATATAATGTACCTTTTCTTTTTTTATGCATCTTTAGACTTTAATTACTTTTCAACAATATTAATAAGTCATTATAGATTTACAGACATGTAATTTTTAAGAAAAATAAGTTAACTTTAATTTTACTGACTTATTAATGATCATCAAAATTGCATTAAAAAGACTTCATTTTACTTTAAAATCAA